GATTGCCATCCCCTCTATGAGGAGTCCCGTTGAGCCACTCCATCTGGGAGCGATGGTTGCTACCACTTTCACCCGATATCTGGGGCGGAATAGGGTGGACACCATGCATCTGGGGGGCATCATCACCAGATTGGCTTGGCACTTTGAGGTGGACCTATCGTGGTGCTCCATCATTGGTCGGACCGAGAAATTCCCAGTAGAGACCCTTTACAACATGAAGTTGGTGCTTCGTGGAGAGCGAGGGATCGAGTACCTAAACGTGCTTCGACCTTCAGCGGCCCTAAGGCCGAGAGTCAACCCTGCTCCAGTGGAGCCCAATTCAGAGGACCCTCCTCCAGAGCAGCCATCTGCTCGAGCTCGCGGGCGTCCCCGGCGTCCTGCATCCATACCACCAGCAGCAGCATCATCAGGAGCTAGTCCTTCCACCTCCGGGGTGCACCTCGTGGAGAGGATGGATCGCCTTAAGACCCACGTGGTGGGAGTCACTTCCTGGCTCGACCGGCACACCGGCCTGGTGGAGCGGATAGCTCGTCGCCAGGGCCTTCTCCTAGATGATGAGCCGAGCCCTTCGACCCATGACGAGGTAGAAGACGAGTGAGACATGTGGCAGAGCCGATTCCTTTCGCCCCACTTCTCCAATTGGAACTCTGAACTCTTTTATCTTTTATTTTGTTTTTCTTTCTTTTCTTCGGTGTGTGTGTGTGTGTGTGTGTGAACATCTACTACTACTATCGTATTGTTATGTGTAATAACCTCGCCTCGAGCGAGTATTATATGTGATTTTTTTGTCTTCTCCTTGAAGTTCCAATCTCCTGCCCCGGATAAAAAAATTCCAAATTTCACTCACCAAACCATGCGTTAACATCGTCTACCCCCTATCTTACGCCATTGAGGGCAATGCCGAGCTTAAGTGTGTGTGTGTCGGGGGGGGGGGGGGGTAGTTTATTATTCAGTTTGTGTGAGTGTGATTGAATGCTTAGAGCCTTGATGTATGCCCAAATTTGAAAATTTTGAGGGCTCCAAGCAATGTTTACATGATCAAAGTGGCCGGTTTGTGGGATAATCTCGTGTTTACTAGCATTAACCTTGAATTGTTGAATGTGATCGAGTGTGTCCTATGATGATGGCTGAGAGGTGCATTAGGATAGTGCGAAGGTTTAGTTCTCATGTGTGCAAAAATGAATGGATGTCTTGACTCGATTACTTGTTGATTACAATTGCCATGCATTGTGTTTTGTGAATTCGAATAGATGGTTGGGTGACAAGGTAGCCATGTGAGTTTTGAGCCGATCTTTTTCTTCTTGTGTGCTTAGATCCCTCTTACCATGGCAATTACTATACCAGTGATTATGATGGAGGTATAGTAGTAGTCCACGCCCAAATGTAGATTGTCCCAAAATATTCTATCCCCTAGTCAGCCTCTTTGAGCCTTGTGACTTTAGGGGTCGTTCTCTTGTAGGAGCTTTTCGCTCATGAGCGTAATGGTGTTTTATAGAACGACCCCCCATCCTTTCTTCGTGTCTATACGTGAGCTGTCCTTGTGTCCTTGAGTCCATGCTTTGGAGCTCCATGGAGGTTCTACATAGGAGGATTTTGTGCGGTTCTTGCTAGAAAAGAAAAGAGTAGTTTTGGAGTAAGTTCTTAATTGAGAGCATTGGTTGTTAAATGTTAATGCGGCAAGTGTTTTAATCTCTAGTACGCCCCTCAAAAAGAAAAGAAAAGAGAAAAAGAATCGAAAAAGAATCGAAAAAGAGGTAATAAAGCGTGGTAAATAAAGTAGAGGGTGCCACAAAAATCAAAGTGTATGCTCTAGGAGGGGTTTCTTGTCACTCAAGCCGTTGAAACACCCACATTGTTGTTGAAATCCTTCACTATTATGTTTGAATGTGATATCAAGAGTAGGGCGAGGAAGTGTGCTTGAATGCGGTTCGTGATGGGTGATAGTTTGGAAGGTAGAAGTAAGGTTTTTGGCCGACGCTAGTGGTCATTGTTTGTAGGGAAGTTTCTTATTCGAAGCCATAGAACCTTCGGTTTTAAGGTGAATATGTAGGAACTCGTGTTGTGTTAGTCACCACCCAAAAAGCCTTTTCCCCATGTCCAAGACAATTGCCAGTCATTTGAACCTGTGTCTAAAACCTTCGGACAAACTAGTGATGAGAACAATCCCGAGAACTCTAGAATTTAGAGGTTTCCGCCATGGTGAAGAGACGTTAGGACCGAGAGTTGGTGATTGTGCACATTTTTTGCACCAAATGGTCCCGACCCCACTGGTCAAGAGAGTAAGTGATTCATCCTTGATTTGCATGTCATATCATACCCCGGTGAGGACCTTTGTTTCCCATTCGTTCATTCCTTGGAATTGAATGTTATGAATGGTTAGTTGTCGTTGATGAGTGATCTTGTTGAGACTTGCATTGATTCATGAACAAGGTGCGAACTTTTCGTTTGCCTGCTTTTGGTAGTCTCGAATGTCGTTTGTGCAAGATGCTAGTATCGCTTGCAACGGTCCATGTGTTAATTGCCAATAGCCATTGAGATTTTCCACTTTTTGCCCTTTGATTTGTCCCCAAGTCTTGTCAAAAAAAAACAAAAAAAAATTTGTCCCCAAGTTATTTTGTTAGGTTGAGATAGTACCTTGTGTGAAATGGTTTGCTTGGGGACAAGCAAACGTCTATTTGAGGGGGAGTGATTCAGGCCTAAATGTACACTTTTTTCCCCATTTATCTTTGGAGTTTCTGGCTTTTGAGCTCCATAAAAGGGTGGTTTTACGCTAGGTTTTTTGTGTTTCAAAGTCTAATAGTTGTAACCAACCCCGGAGTCGAAAGTTGGAAGAAATGGCACGAGGACCAAGCAAAGAGGAGGAAACAGCTGTTGTTCACGGTCCAAGCAGTGAGTTTACAATCGCCAGGACCCTGAATTGAAGGGCGTCCAGAGAGTTTTTGGAAGTTACTACTCCGAGTCAGTTCACGGCCGTAAGACCGTGAACTGAAGCCATTGTCCGCGAACTCAACAAATGAAAGCGGTGCGTTTTGGCAGTGTTCATTGTCCAGGCCAGATGTTCACGGCCGTGAACTGGGACCGCGAAGTGAGCTCGATCAGTGTATAAAAGGAGAGCTGAAAGAAAGAAGAAAAGGGAGAGCTCAAAGTGAGAGAAACCTGCTTCTTCTTGAAACCCTAGAGAGAGAAAGTCACGAACCAAGAGGGAAAAGAGGCTAGGGTTTGCTCCAAGTCAAGAATTGGGAAGTTCCTCTTCAAGGGAGGATCTCTACAAGCACAAGTAAGGATTGAGGCATCACAATGATGGTTTTTTCCTTTTTCCTTTGTGTTCTTCCTTCTTTCTAGCATGGAGTAGTCTCCTATTCACTTGGGTGTTGTAGAAACCTAACTTCTACCATGTAGTTGATTGTGTGGATTGAATCATTTTGTGTGGGTGATATTTAATTTAAAGTTTAGAGGTATTGTTCATGATGATTGTGCATTTTGTGTGCTTGGAAATCTATTGTTCTACCCTAACCTAACTTAGAGAGAATCCCCCTTTCCGTAAGAGGCTCAAATTGAGCTGTGTTTTCTTAAGCATTCCATGCCTCCTAACTAGGTTAATATAAGACAAACCTCTAAACTCAAGTTAGACATCTAGGTTAATTGTGATTAAGCCTTCCAAAGCCCAGTTGGAGGGAGAAGGTAAGTCAACCCTCTTTTGCTTGGGCCAAGAGGGCTACTTTTGTAGTCTATAATGCATTCCTTGGCCTAGAGATTGGAGTGTGGTTTTCAAATTTCAACCATTGTTTCTCCACCTACTGTTCGCAATTGCCTTGTCGCGCACCAATTCATTTGATCCCATAGTTCATGGTAGTTAGTTAGGGGAAACAACTCCCGAGTGAAGCTTCTCACCAAGAGTTTCAACCCCTTTTACTTTTCAAGCCTTGCACTTTTAATCACAGATTGTAGAGATTCTTTTAAACTTCATTCCGTAGATAATGTTTCAAACAATTGAAGTAGGGGTACATGGACCGGCCCGGGTTGATATTTAAACATACTTGCCCTATATCGCACCCATTTAAGGTTTATACTTGGGCCTTAAGTGGGATTAAAGTGTGATATTCGAAGCGAGTCAAAAAAACATATTTGAGTCAACATAAGGATGATTCTCGAAACAAAACTAATAAAATATCCTAAAACTACAATTCAAAATATCAGCCAACACATTGTGAAATGGAGGGGAAACCTCTCATGTACCGACACCCTTCATAGTGGTACACTAGCCTCCCTAAATCACATACCATCATGGAAACTAGTAATTCAAAGCACATTAGGCAGGTAATTGTATAGGATAATGTACTTGGATCCCTCTTATTTTAACAATTTGGAAAGTGGACTAGAATCCAAGCACTCTCATTCCAACCATTGACTCACACACATACACAATGAAGCACCTCCACACTTAAGCACAACATTGTCTTCAATTTATGAAAGATAATAAGGGTAGAATGAAGTTACCGAATCGAGTGTGAAGGATGGTAGATGAGATAGTAGGACCTGAAAGATTATGAAGAGCAGCTTGAACAACAAAACACCAAAAGCTCACAAGGTTGAGTTTTAACTAAAAAATCAAAGGACAAACTGGCTGGACCAAAGAACAAAGGGAAAGAAATGCAAATGGACTGGTTGGGTTTCCTCCCAACAAACATTTTTTTAGTGTCATGAGCCCAACGATGGCTCCTAAGTTTTGGTTCAACCCAAAACCTCCTTGAAGTTGAGGTTGCGTCGGTGATATGGAGTCTCAAGTTACAATCAATTGATGGGACATGTTATGATGGCTCATGGAGTTGGTGCAAATGGAGCCTCCTCCATCAAGACCTCTCCCTCTCTTCATTCTTCTTCTCATTACCCCAAACCACGTAGGACAACATCAATTGACCACCATAAAATCCACCAAGAGGGATCTATGATGGTATGGCCTTTTGTCTAGAAAAGAGAAGCCGCAAAGGGGTCTTTCTAGAAGCTCCTCAAGTTCACGTGGTGATCTTCAATAAAAGTGTGGGCATATGGAAGCCTCAGCCCCCTCGATCACATCCTTTTCTGTGAATTAAAGAAATAAAAAAGCTAAACTAACAAACTGATTGCTTTCCTGATAATCTAGATAGTTCATCGATAACAGTGCAAAAAGTTGGACTTGCTAAAACTACCCATCTAACTAAGGTCAAGTGTGATCGGTGAAAGGGACTACATTATATTGATACATATAATAAAATATTGAATCCACGGCAACATGGAAATCCATGTTCCTTCCTCGTTTAGTCTCAAAATTTACACATATACAGTCCCATGTGCTCATACACTCGTACTCCATGATGCCAATGTGTGGAACACAAAGAAAAATATAAACAAAAAGAGTCAAAAGTATACAAATGCCGGTAAATGCTATCGAATACATAAAGAGATAAATATGAAGGCAAAATTGTGCTAAATTTTCTAAAGATGCTCCAAAATAGAGGAAATTTCGCTAAAAATGGTGTGATAACACTATGATTCAAGTGTGTAATTTGGTGTTATAAAGAAATTGAACCTACTTTCTTCTCGATTTGTGGGTTAACATACTACCTAATACTAATTTAGTGTTGGTGTGGACCTTCCTAGTTCCTAGTCCCATTTTTTTTCTACATAGACTTTCTCTTACTCTTTTATTTGAGTTGACTAAATGTCAGTTTAGTCCTTCCAATTTAATTTTTTGATCTTTTTAGTTCCTAAACTTCAAATATGTCTATTATGAATATATATGTGGAAGTCAATTGCCCACATACCCCAACTACCACCTTCTTCCCATCCTAATTAATTTTCTAACCCACTATAGATCACCATTATGATTAAGTATTATAGTATTAAGTGGATGTCCATCATACACATCCTCCATCTACTTAATTGGGCCTCTACCTTCAATGGCTATAAAAGGAAAGCTATGGAAGAAGGAAAGACATACCAATAAGCTTCTCTTCTCCCTCACTTCTCCATGTATCTCTGTGTCTACAATCCTCTGTAATAGGGATACGAGAGTATGGAATAAAAGTGGTGTTACTCCTTCTCTTCTAGTTCGTGTTAATGGTATTGCTTATTCCCAGCATCAGAATAATTACTCATAACACGTTATCAGCACGATTGTTCTATGTGCTTGAGATCATGTCGATCTGAGCAAATTTCAGAGTATAAACTTTTTACCATTAGAACGATTGTTCTATGTACTCATGATCCTGTCGATCTGAGCCAACTACAAAGTGGAAGTTTACTTTCTTTTATACTCAAGATCCTATTGATCTTAAGAAAATATGAAAGGAAAGTTTTTACCATTATCTCGATATTATATACCTAAGATCCTGTTAATCTTAAGGTAATTTGGAAGTTCAAGTTTTTACTATTATCAGGATTGTTTTACGTACTCAAAATCTAGTAGATTTGAGAAATATAACATTGACATGAAGTCATGAAGCCCGCCTAAGATCCTGTCGGTCTACAACAATACCAAAACAGAAATTTCCACCAGTGAGAGATCGAGTATTAACCATAAGAATATCAAGAGATTTATTCATCCATTTGTTGGAGAGAGTAACTTCATCAATAGTGGTCAAGAGTTACTTTTGACGTGGTCGCATCCATTTGGTCAGTATACAAATCGCATATTATTTTCCCTCTGTTGAATGATAATTCTCAAATTATGTTATAACAATTCTTGCCACATTCATAGTAATAATTGGTTTTATCTACTAAAAATATATATATGCAAGAAAGGAAAAATACTGCACCGTATGCATTATATACTTTGTACTGTATGTGACTATATGTATATCGACATTATATATACTTTATTTTATAATGTTTTTTATAGATTATGTGGTTTGATGTGTATGATTTAAGTAACTTGGCTACATGGCATATATTGACTAATCTTTATATAACATATTTACTAAGTTATGATTAGTTAATTCTTGACATTATTCTTATTGTTACTACAATTGTTTACTATGCTCCAGAGGTAGCAAGTAAAAGGAATTAATAACTATTGAAAGTTATACGAATAAATTGTGAAAAGGGTTAAGATCAAAAGATCGGTGGATAAACCAGATATGTGGGATATGAAAAACCTCTTTAAATGTAATTCCATTCCCAGAAGTGAATGTGAAAAACGACGATGTCAAAATGTTGATTGGTAAAATGGTTATAGAATACCAACCATAATAACATTCACCAGAAGTGAAACGTTTATTTGGTCAGTGATTGAAAATGCAAGAACGTTATTGCACCAGATGTATGTTGAATCGTTTCATGGATTTAATCAAGAATTATTTGAATAAAGTGATCGTATCCTGAAGATTTTTAGAATAAAGCGTTTAAGGGCTTACCCAAAATGGACACATCAAATTCGATTATACGCCCATTTTATATAACGATTTATGGAGTATTACTCTTAAAATGATCTAATGAAGTTGGTGGTCGGTTATGGTTAGCCACAAAATTTTGATGTATAGAGTATTTACCACAACTTTTACCGGGAGTAAAAACTATGTGTATATTTTATTGGTAATTTACTATTAGTCCATATACTTTAAAAATATCCTCAAAAGCTCACAAGTTTCAAATATTTGTGAAAGAATGCTAAACTTTGCAAGTCAAAGACTTTATCAGTTTGACAAAATTAGTGTGAACAACATACAATTGTAGTATTTTGTTGGACACAAAAACAAGTATTTAAAATGTGGATTTATTGATACAATGAAGTACTTAAACTTCACTTTATTCATAGCATTCTTACATCATACATGATAAGAGATCTAAGTCTCCTTTTCATACTACCAAACATGGATCAAACAAGGGAAATCTAATCATGCTTACGATCCTGACGCTTTAGTTTCTCGAGAAAGAATTTTCGATCAGGATCTTCCATTTTAAAAGAGCGTCCAATTGCAAAGAGAATTGCCACAAAGAAGAAGAAAATCAATCCATCTATAATCTCTTTGGGAGACATTTCTTCACCCATTGCTTCACTCGAACTCGATAAGATCCCTGAAGCGACTTATGACGAGAAGATATTCCCAAGAAGGGAAGAAGAATGATGGACCTGAGAAATGATATATGAATTTTTCGGCTTGAGTTGAATGAAATAACAAGGAGGAAGATTGTTGTTTTATAGTCGATAAAGGGGATAAGATAAAGATGTTGATGTGGTAGATTTCCGATAATATTGAGAAGATTTTGGTTGAAATTTTGGAAAGAAACAAAAGAGGTAGGGTAATATGTCGGTCGACATTACCCACAAAATGCGAGAAACATATCAAAATTATCAGGCGACAATACTGAGATATTGCGTTATATGTTGTATCCAACAGTTTTCTACTGATAGGGTAATATGTCGTAAGCATAACCCACATTAAATGCCAGAAGTATATCTACCACATATAGTGATATGGTTTATTAAAAGAATCTTTAGGGTTCAAAATCTGGCGTCAATGGGGCTTGAACCTACAATGTTCCAGTTGAGGTCAAAGAGCCATAGCACTTCGAGCGCGTCCCCTTTTGATATCCTTATTCTTAAAGTATTCCATAATACATGTTATTATGTTGAATTACTACTCTTAGTTAGTCCTTCTTCCTGAAGCAAAAGGTAATCAAACGAACCATAAACCTGAAGTTTATATTTGTTGTAAATTGATTGCTTGGCATGACCGGTTGGGCTAATCGAGGATTCATGAAAATCTTTTATGAGAATATTTCCAGAAATTTCATAATGAAGGATTATTTTGTGCTGTATATTCTCCAGAAAAGTTGATTATAAGATCACCTATGAAAGTGAGAAGTAATTAGTATATACAATGTGAAACTATTGGATCAACGCACCATATGGATCATTTAGTTATTTTATGGTTTTAATCGATGCATCGTCTAAATGATCACTCCACCTGCAACCTAAAGTTTGCAAGATTGGTTGCACAATTGAAGAGAATCCTTCTCGATGATTATTGGTGGATTTAAATCTCATATTATTGGTTTCAATATCAAATGTCATGTAGCACATGCTTGTGCATAAACATGGGAAACAACTTATTGAAGACATGCCAGTTGCATGTAGCAGTATCGATTTTGCATCATGCCAAGAAGTTGTCACTACTAAACCCCTGTACAAATTGGTTTTGGTCAGGAACCTTAAAATTCTCATCAAAGACATTATGATGGATTATATGTTGTAAATTGTTCCACCACAATATACAAAGATGGGTTCTTCAAAGGATATTGGAAACTATGTTGAGCAAGAAGTCTCCATTATTTTGCAATCGTTATTTCGATCTTTCCAATATCAGGGGGAGAAAATTAAGCAACTGATTCTAAAATTGGTTGAAATGAATTATGGTCCTCACATTTGTAATGTGAACTTGAAGTTCAATGATAATTCATTTGCCAAGTTTAGTAAGCCTACTGCCAGGCGTAATTAATGATAACAAAGGAGTGACTAAGTCACAAAAGCTGCTAATGCTCCTAAGAACTATATCCCTGAAGGATATGTTGCACACACATATGTAATGTGTTGAACTATCGATTCCAAAGAAATACAAGTCCTCGAAAAATAAAAGGAGCTCAAAAAAAAGATGGTCTTTATGATGAGGATATTGAAAGCTTATTTGAATCTCCAAGTATTATAACATTTGGTCTAGAAGAACCACAAGTACCTATTTCGGGATTATGAAAGAAATCCCACTAAATTATATCTTGGATGAGATTCAATGGAATCGAAAGGAAGTCAACGTTGACGATAGAGTTTTCATATATTGTAGAGCGCAATATGATATGAATGAGGATCGTGAAGTTAGATCCATCGGTCACCATAAACAAGTAATAGACCAAGTTGTCATTTGGGGCAGTTATGGACTAGCCTAGACAGTAAGAAGTCATAAGAACTATACAGAAGCAATGCTAGTAAAACTCATATGATGTTTTACGAAGACATGACAAAGGGGGAGAAATTAAGAGATATCATGCTCGACTTGTCATAAAGGTCTTCGCAAAATAATTGGCATTGACTTAGGAAAACTTGCATATGGTGGATATGGCTTTTGACAGTATATAAAAGTTATATATGCGTCTAATGAAGGTTGATACTAAGCATGCTTAATGATGAAATTCATATGGAACTCTCTGAAGAAGTTAGTTTGCTTGAAGCAAACATGTTGAGATTGTGGAGAACATTATTCAAGTATATTGAATCCTCCCCTCAAACAAATTGAATGAGCATCAATATATATTGAATAACTATCTCAATGAAGTTTCTACGAGATAGGAGAAATACGAATGATCTCAATTCCATATTCGTATTATAATTTGAGGAAGACAGATGAATTACCTAGAATATCTTCCAATGATAGCTTCATGTGTTCTGACAAAGAATCATTGGTTGAAAGAGCCAAACTTCTCATGATAATGTGTTGACAAATTCTTTGCCATCTTTGGGGTTACGACACATTTGTAAACAATGATTTCAAGTTGAGATTAAAGGTACAAATATGTTTGAAACTCTAGAAGAGTATTCAAAGATACGAATTTATTGATTGACTTGAAACTCTAGAAGAGTATTCAAAAGTAATTGAAATCAATAACTTGAAAGACCCAGACTATCCCCTAGGTTGCAAATAAAATATTTGCAAGGGAAAGTCATGTGCATCAAGAAATATATAAAAGGTGCACAAATGATAAGAATGAGTAAGATATATTGATCATTAAGATCACTATGAGAATAATGATCTATTTGATAAAGTTATCCATTATTTAACATATTTCTCAAAGATTGATCTAGATGATCATATATGAAAGTGATATTACATGTATCTTCTGAAAGATACATATGAGGATATTTTTAGCGAAGTTTGTTATTCAATAACGAACTTCATGAAAAATTGTGGAACCAGCAAAGTTTGTTAAATGACTATCCAGCAGATTTGTCTATAACAATACAACTTTCCACAACATCAAGTGAAAATATATTGGAGCTCGAAGACTTGAAACTGTTGATAGATCTCTCCATGAGGGGGAGATGTTGATAGATCTCTCCATAAGGGGAGACTTTACGCACTGCACTCTTTTTTCCCTTTAACTAAAGTTTTTCCCACTGGGTTTTCTAGATAAGGTTTTTAATGAGGCAGTATACAACGCATAACAGAAGAACTATGTACTCTTTTTCCTTCACTAGGTTTTTATGCCACAGGGTTTTTCTTAGCAAGGTTTTAACGAGGCATGTTCTTAATCGATAGACATCCAAGGGGGAGTATTATGAATATATATGTGGATGTCCATTGCCCACATACCCCAACTACCACCTTCTTCCCATCCTAATTAATTTTCCAACCCACTATAGATCACCATTATGATTAAGTATTATAGTATCAATTGGATGTTTATCATACACATCCTCCTCTACTTAATTGGGACTCTACACTCAATGGCTATAAAAGGAAAGCTATGGAAGAAGGAAAGACATACCAACAAGCTTCTCTTCTCCCTCACTTCTCCATGTATCTCTGTGTCTACAATCCTCTGTAATAGGGATACGAGAGTATGGAATAAAAGTGGTGTTACTCCTTCTCTTTTATTTCGTGTTAATGGTATTTCTTATTCCCAGCATCGGAATAATTATTCATAACACATATAACTCTTATTACACAGAAATTTGTGATGTACAAGGACACTTTCAGAAGGAATAATTGTAGCTTTGGTCCCCGAAAATCCAGGAGTCAGTTTAACTCATATGACATGAAACTTTATGTTTTATATAGGTTAAATATACTTGTATATCCAAAACTTTCATGGTTGTGTTAATAATATCCAAATTTGACGAAATACCACTTATAGTCACTTTCGTCGAATTTTTTAACGGTGTCAGCTAATAAGCTGACTGGACAAACATAAATATTGAATTGGCAAGTTTCTCCAGCAACAATTCCACGATGGATTAAGTTTAAAAAGTAAAATAAAAAATAAAAAAGGAGATGAAAGGTCCCCACCAAACGCACACTCCCTCATTCCCTCTGTGAATACTCAGCTCCACCAGCCGTTGTCGCCGCTTCTCCGCCTCGTCGAACACAAAACTCCACCCTTCCTTCGCCCAGATGAGGGAGGCTTTGAGATTTCGAGTGTGATGCCGGCCTATCCTTGTTCTTAACACCCCAATTCTCTGAATCCAACCCTAATTCTCTGACGCGATAAGCTCAATCCCTTTGAACTGCCTCCCCTTCTCCTTGCCCATGATCTCAAACAGCTCCGGATTTGCCTCGCAAATCGGCTGGTTTCCCCAAGCCTTCACCGAGCTTCGATGCTCCTGCAAATCCGATTCGCTCGCCATGACTGGACTATTGGCCGGACCGCATTGAATTTTTGAATCGGGGTGACGCCTCTTGAAGCTCATCGAGTGGCCCAAAATCCGAAACTCCCTCTCGTCCTTTTCGTCCCCCGGGTCGCGATTCAGCTCCACGGCGGCACCACCGTTCTGGTTGTGGAAGAGTCCGCCGCGATGGCAATTCTCGTTTATCGACTCAAGTAGCCGCAGCGGGAGGTGGTGGACGGAGGCGGCTGAAGAGGCGGAACAGGGGAAGAACCCTAATTTCAAAATTGGGGAAATGTTGGGGATTCAGATCGTGCGAAATGGGGGATATTAGGGTATTTTTTAATAATTATGATGTATAAATAATAAATAATTTAAATATCTTATGTGTCATTATTTGCTTATTTGGCGTTGACGTGTCTGTTGAGTTGGCGTCTAGTGAGCGAACCGTCAAATAAGTTGACGGTGTTATTAACACAGTTAAAGTTTCTAACGGAAATGGATAGATTTGGCAAAGAATAGCTTTAAAACATGACTATAAGTGATATTTCGGGAAATTTGGATATTATTGGCACAACCGTGAAAGTTTTGGATATACAAATGTATTAAACCTTTTATATAACCTTTTATATAAGATAATTTTGCATTGGACATTCCAATTTTAACTAAACACATAGAATTGCTACCAATGAAAATAGACTTACATATACAAATATAGGGGGGAAAACATATTATAGTATAAGATGCATGACGATTTTCCATTAAAAGAAAATATAAACAGAAAATTATAGTCTAGATACTTGTGTGAGAGGTTTTAATGACTTAAAAAAAGGTTATGTACGTTTAAAGTGATAGCTAATATTTTCTATATTATTATTTTGTTCATATTATATTTATTCTCAAGCATAAAACTACGAAAAATGACACACAACTATCATACGTCAGGACACAAATGTCATATTGGATATTTTATGACACAAATCACACATTTTTAATAGTTCGGATTTCCTAGTGGTATTAACCCTAAATAATATGTCTAAAATATACCAATCTTACAAGAAAACCAATCAAGTTTACTTATTTTACAACAAAAAAAACTACAAAATCATCTAAACCGGTTCAACATCGTCAACCTGGTTGGTGTTAATTTGCCTTTGAAAGGGGGAAAAGTTAACTTGCCAAAAGAATGACTATTATTTCATCGGTTGTTGTGGACTTATAGAAATCAAATAACAGTTGGGTCTGGTTCTGCCGTTCTGGTCCTCCAGTTTTTGTTAATAAAGGGGAGGATGAGAGCCTTTAGTTACGAAGCAGCCGCTGAATTTGTCGTGACCAAAAGAAAACAACAAAAAGAAATGGCCCCTATATATGCGTGGGTTTTGACTTTTGACTCTCCTAAGAGCCCTTAATTTCCCTGCCCCAAATTCCCATTTGACTCCAAACAAACAAAGTTAGTAAGAGATTCCAACATGGATGCTACTCGATCGATCGAGAATTCGATCAATTACTTATTGGTTTTATTTGTCTTCAAACCTTGGCTCTTTTTTAGATTTGTATTCTCCTTAAGGTGATGAGATTGAAATTACTGAACTTTTGAACTTATAACATTTTGTATGCTTTCCAAGGCTAATTCTTAACTAATGGCGCTTAGGTAAAAGAGCTTAAATAGTTATTAAAAGTAACAAGCAATTAAGGTTACTAAACTTCTAGAAGATCAAATTATATGAAAGAATATTTATTTATTTTTGTTTAGTTTTACCACATCATACTTATAAGTTATCAAATTATTTTTATTTTTTGACTAATTGGAAAATGATAAGTAATAGAAATTAGAAAATAATTTGAATGTGAATTTTTTAATTATTTTTTGGGTGACGAGGCAATGGCATGGCGTGTTGACTAACGGTCAATGGTGTTGACTGTCCAAATTGACGGTCAAACCATGTGTCGGGCCAATTGAGTCTATTGTTGGGATAAGAAGCTTCTCATAAGCAAATAGTTATGTATTATGCACAATGTGAAAGACTAATGGTTTGATTGAGATTGCAGAAAGAGAAGCCTACCTCTAATGCAGGCTATACAGAAAAGGAAGTTATCTCGACAAGGCATGTCAAAATTACAAACGAGGGATACTCGTAACCCTGCTGCTCAAGGCCACGTCTCACATAAGGAAGCTTCCATGAATCCATGTACAGCTGACACGCCAAAACACAACACCAAACTGCGACCAAGTGTAATCGCAGTCCGGAAATGCAGTAACAGGCAAGTTCTATTATCAACCCGGGGTCTAGATCTACCGCTTACTCCATGATTATCTATTATCTAGCCAACTAATTCGATTGATTGTTGTTTAAAGCAAAAGCAGTAAGAAAGCAGGAAATGGTTCGGTTTTCAAAAGTAGGTAAGAGTCACTCGGGAATGAGTCCCCCTAGCCCCTTAGTTAGGTTCAATTGTAATTCCCCTGGGTTGATTCACTGTTGATTAGACTGCGGAAGATCCGACAGTAGCTTGGAATCTCTTAAGCTGACCAAGTCCTCTCAGTCTAACTACCCGGCAGACGACTAGTCTTCACCGGGATAGAAAGCTGAAGCAATAAGCACAGAACTCCACTACTGGAATTGAATTCCAGTACAAAGCAGTAAACTGGCTAACTCTCGTATAGCCAATCTTCTACTATCGAATGAAGAGGCTCTAACAACCTAATCAGATTCTATCTATCTCAGGTTGCAGCAGAAATCAAGAAAAGCTGATCAGATTTCAATCAATTCAATAAACATGCATCATTCGATTAAAATCAAACAGTATAATCATCCCAAGTCATTACAATCAAATCCCTAACACAAGGAACTAGGGTTCTTCATACCCAAGTGAGAGAAAGGTTCTACTCCATAGAGAGAGAGAGGAAAACAGAAATCAGAGTAGTCATACTCATAAAGATGAGGAAAATCTGCTCTGGGATGTCAATCTTCACTCCTGAGGACGCAATCTGGGCTTCAATGGTGAGAAATCCACTCCAAAATAGCTCCTAGGGTTTGTTCTTCGCTCTTTCTTTCTCTAAAACTCTGTTTTTGCTCCAGAAACTCGAATACCTCTTCCTTGGCTCGACTCTGCCTCCAAAAACCCGACTCTGGGCGAATTACGGGCTGAATTACGGCCGTAATCACGTCCTGCCCGTAATTTTCCCCAAAACGCACGTTTCAATTAAACTGAAGGAGGAGGAGATACTCAACATCTCAAGAGCACAAGAGCGAAGGAGGCATAAACATCAGCATTTCCAAGCCAGACTGCCAAGAAACACTACTTAATGGGCATTATTCAGATTTTTGGTAGTGGCTCTCTTTTGCCTTCAATTTTTCTATGTTTTTCTTTCATTTTTCTTTTCATTTCTTAAGAGAGCCACCACTTCTGCACATATGTCAAACACCTGCCCAACTTTAAAGCACTACCTCCAACACTCACATAAACTTTA